TCTCTGTATGTGTAGCTTGAGAAAGTAACATTTTTGTTAGAATCCCACAATCATGATGACTTCTGACTATGCCACTGAGGACTGCCACTCAAAAATGTGCCATCCAAGAAAAATAATAATGATCCAAGCGTATGTATATGTGTGCAGTTGTCGGGATTGTCATGTGTAGAGCCAATTAGAAACTATGGCAATAGCCCTACTTCTCATACAAGATCTAAGGAGGATGGAACAAAGTTATTCTCTGATATTCCAGAAGACTGGGCAAGAACCAATGGATGGAAACTTCAAGAAATAAATTCCAGTGGGACACAAGAGAAACATTTTGTAAGAAGGGTTCCTTGGTTGCTCAAAAAGAGACAGAAAGTCATCCTCTGCTGCAGGGCAATCTAACAGCACCTGGATGGACATCTGTCAAGCATGATGCTGAGCAGAGACTCTTGCTTTAAGCATGGATTGGGGGGCAAGAAGCCCTCTAATCTGCCGACCAACTCTAATGTTCAATGGGTTGAACCCAGATTTAGAATCATCCCACTGAAGTCAATGAGATTTACATGTTGGCCAGAATCCTACTGGTGTTTGTGCAAGGTGTGTGTAACTTCCTGCAGGCAACTGACAAGAATCCATCTCAGTTGAGACCAGGCACATGTCCTTAAACATCATCAATCAGCTCCAATCAGCTGTGGTAAGTTATGCAAACTGTACACAAACACCAATATGATTTTTGCCACTACTGTATAAGCTAAAGTTTCTTTGATATCAATGAGTCTGCTCTCAACATGGATCCTGCAGCTCCCAGGATCCTGGAAGCCATCTTGGCTATTTGTTGATGAGTTACTGAGTTACTAAATAATTTTTTCCAAGCTCCGATTCTACATATAATTTGGGCTGTGCACACAGGTGCAGGCTTCTGCATGTACTTGACCCTGGAAAGAATTGAAGAGTGATAAATCTTGTTCCTTTTCACTGCATAAATAAGTGGAGGTTTCTCATTATAAACAGAAAAGGAATTGCATTCTACAGTGTTAGGACTGGGATCTTGCCAGCAGCAGAAATGTGGACAAGACTTTTAAAATTATCATATTTAAAGATTAAGGGCCCAGAAAGATTTCTGGGTCAAGTGAAGGTCCAGAATAAAGCCAAGACGAGAGGCAAAGTTTAAATCAAAGTAAGGCACACAGGAAAGTGTTTAAATAAAGCACCAAGCCTAAACAAAATGGCCTTATCCCTTTAGTCCATTTGTGATCCATAGAACTGAGATGCTTTTTGCAATCCTATCAAACTCATTAAAAAGATTCTGATAAGATATCCCCCGGGGTACCGCAAATGCTACAAAGAGACTAACAGAAGTTCTCTGAATGCAATTATCTTATAAGGTCATTTACCACCAAGGATATTTCCAGGTGGAGGCGAATTCTCAGAAAACCACCTTGGAGGCTTGTGCTGCCGGAAAGAGAATGCTCAAGCTAACCAGGTCAGCATGAAACATACATGGTTTTTAATACTATAGGCTTTCCTCCAACCCATGTCTTTTCCTTTTGCTTTGGGTGCAATTGTCTTTGCAGACCAATCAGATGCTATGGAGCTGCTGTTAAGCAAGCAAGCAAGCAAGCAAGCAAGCAAGCAAACAAGCAAGCAAGCAAGCAAGCAAGCAAGCAAGCAAGCAAGCAAAGCTACCAGGAAAGTGTAGGCCAGAGCAAACACTTTGATGACATGGTAATGTCCACTGAGGGTAAATGAAACTACCGTAATTCATATTGAGAGAAATGGCTGTGTAGGAAGCTGTGTTCTTATTCTGAATTAGCATCAGGGGCTATTATCAGTGGCATTATAACAACCTAAGAACTGTAGAGTTGGAAAGGACTCTATAAATCATCAAGCCCAGCCTCAGTCAAGGAGACAGAGTGGGGAACTGAACTCCCAACCTCTGGCTTCTCAGCCAGGAACCTAACCACTGAGCTATACACCGGTATTTATTTATTTGATTCGATTCACATCCTGCCTTTCTCCCAGAAATGAAGCCAAAAACAGCTGGTGACATGATGGAAAAACAGGTACAATTCACTGCAGGCGACCTAAATCTGGTTGTTCATCACCCAACTAGAGTAGACCCATTGAATCAGAGGAATTTACATAAGTAGGGATTAACCATTTAATAGTTGGTTCATTTGAACTAATTTCATTGGAACTAGCAACTGGATCCAAGCCCTTAAGTTGACAACATTGCAACACAATAAAACAAGTTGTACTATGACACACCACTAGGTTAAACAGCTGGCCAGATGGTTCAGTGGTTTAGCTCTCTGGCTGCAGAGTCAGAGAATGGCAACTCAGTTCCCCACTGTGTCTCCAGCAAGTAGAGCCAGCCTGTGTGATGATGGGCAAGCTGCACAGTCCTAGGGCACCTCCAGAAGAAGGGAATGGAAAACCACTTCTGAATATTATCTACTTGGAAAACCCTGAAATGGGTCACCATAAATCAGAATTGACTTGACAGCACCTGATTTACCAAACCAAACCAAGTCAGAAGCACTTTAGTCAAAATATTAAGAATTGAGAACTGCAAGGTAAACAGTAACAGAACACCTGTCAAAAGCTCTCTCACAGAGACATATCAGATTGGCCATATGGTCGCTCATATGCTTCTAGGTACGACAGCAACACTTTTTAAAACCAAGAGAAAAATGGTCCTGTAGCAACAGCTGGAGTGAACTGCAAAGTTATTCTCTCTGGAGTTTTGCATTTGTTTTCACAGCTACACCAGCCCACCACAGGATATCAAAAACTGGAAGCAAGCCTTGGATACATACTATTTGTGGAGGAACAACTACAAGTTGGGCAGAGTCTACAAGTATTACTTTTGGGGATCACCGCCATTGGTGGGTTGTGGGCAGACAGCCTCAACCTGAAGTGGTACAGACCCCCAAACCATGACTACAAAGCCCAGAATGTACCAGCCAGCATGGGAAATTCTGAGGTTGGGTCAGGA